TGAGTAGCTGGGACTCTAGGTGCATGTCACCATATCTGGCTAATTTTTTAAGTAATTAATTATTATTATTATTATTATTTTGAGGCAGAGTCTCGCTCTGTCGCCTAGGCTGGCATGCAAAGGCTCGATCTCTGCTCACTACAACCTCCGCCTCCCAGGTTCAAGCGATTCTCCTGCCTCAGCCACCCAAGTAGCTGGGACTACAGGCACGCGCCACCATGCCTGGCTAATTTTGTGTATTTTTAGTAGAGATGGGGTTTCACCGTGTTAGCCATGATGGTCTTGATCTCCTGACCTCATGATCTGCCTGCCTTGGGCTCCCAGTGCTGGGATTATAGGCGTGAGTCACGGTACTCAGTCAATTAATTATTTTTTTTACAAAAATAGAAACAGGGTTTCACTATGTTACTCAGGGTGGTCTCAAACGCCTGGCCTCAAGTGATCCTCCTGCCTCAGCACAATTACAGGCATGAGCCATTGCACCTGGCCTGCACCTTTATGTGTTTGCTGGGTCCTGATGGACTGTTTTTCTGCTCAGCACTGTCAAAAAGTCTAAAAGGCACGGTTGCCATGACTATTTATACATCATTCTCTCCATCTACCCTGAGGGGTGTTGTCGTTCCTATGGCAGGCATCTGCAATGCAGCTGAGTGAATGTGTGAGTGAAAAAAATGAGTAGGGGGGCGGGGAGACCCCTATTGCCACACAGCTCCCTAGCCCCCCTTGGTGGTCACGGGTCAGGCTCCTGGCAAGCAGGTAAGAGCTGGGTGCTGGGGTCTTGGGTCCCCAGTGGGTCACAGGTGGGGTCATGATTCTCAGGTGGAACGGCATCCACTCCTGGCCCCATAAGCCCTCCAGACTCCCAGGGGGACCATCAATAGGTTCAGATCCTCAGAATCTCAAGGACAGGGCCAGGCACGATGGCTCCTGCCTGTAACCCCAGCACCCCAGCACTTTGGGAGGTCACGGGAGGTGGATCGCTTTAGGTCAGCAGTTCAAAACCAGCCTGGCCAATATGGTGAAACCTTGTCTTTACCAAAAATACAAAGACTAGCTGGGCACGGTGGTGCACAACTGTAATCCCGGCTACTTGGGAGGCTGAGATCACACCGCTGCACTCCAGCCTGGACAACAGAACAAGACTCTCTCTCTCTCTCAAAAAAAAAAAAAAAAATTCATGTTCTGAGGTCCTGGGGGACTCAGAGGACTTCAGCATGTCAATTTCGGGGTGATCCATTCAGCTTGTAACAGCGGGCTTGCGGGAACCTGGGAGAGGGACAGGGCCTCCTCCTGCCTCCCAGCCCCAAGCCCAGGAAGGGAATATTCTGGAGCTAGCTCCTGCACATGCCCTGATTCTCTTCTCCACCATCAACACGCTCATTGCAAAGCTTCCCTTGCCCTCTCGCGAAAGCAAACCTCTCTGGGTTAGGTTTGCTCCAGCCCGGGCTGGAAGGGTGAGATTGCGGAGTTGTGGGTCCCTCCCAGAATCGTATTCAAAATATCCTCGTTAGGAGAAAAGCCGGCACTGACTTCTCAAGGGGTCCTTCCCGGTCACGCGGTGTTACTAGGTGGTCTGAGTATGATGCCCAGTGAGGGGCCTGTGACTGTCCCGAGCCCTTTCTTTGTCTCAGGCTGGGCTATCTACTCTTATTGCATCAGCCCAGATTGGTGGGAGCCCTGGTCCCCCTACCCTGAACTGTGTATGGGAATTCACTGGTATTAAAAAAAACACCTACCTGAAAGTGATAATGGGGGTTAGGGCAGGGGGTCAGGGAGAAGCAGTGCCAGATGGGGTCCATCCAGGAGGGCTTCCCGGAGGAGGAGCTGAGAAATGGCTTTAGCTTTCAGCCTGAACCTCCCTCCTGCCCGCTGTCAGGCACCATGCTAGAAACCTGTATCACAATAACTGGTTTAATCTCCCAACAAATGGGGCAGTGCTGTTTATCCTCCTCAATCTTTTTTTTTTTTCTTTTTAGATTGATCCTTGCTCTGTCGCCCAGGCTGGAGTGCAGTGGCGTGATCTCAGCTCACTGCAACCTCCGCCTCCCAGGTTCAAGTGATTCTTCTGCCTTAGCCTCCCAAGTAGCTGGGATTACAGGCACCTGCCACCATGCCCAGCTAATTTTTGCATTTTTAGTAGAGATAGGCTTTCACCATGTTGGCCAGGCTGGTCTCGAACTCCCAACCTCTAGTGATCTGCCCGCCTCGGCTTCCCAAAGTGCTGGGATTACGGGTGTGAGCCACCACGCCCGGCCTCCACCTCTCTGTGCATCTCTGTCTCCCTCTCTGTCCATCTCCATGTGTCCTGTCACAGGTGGGTTCATGGTTGTCAGGTGGAGCCATGTCTGCTCCTGGCCCCCATAAGCCCTCCAGACTCCCAGCGGGGACAATCAATAGTTTCAGATCCTCAGAATCCCGAGGACAGGGCCAGGTACGGTGGTTCATGCCTGTAACCCCAGCACCCCAGCACTTTGGGAGGCCACGGCACCCTGGGGCTACTCCTGCAGGTCTGAGGCTCTGGTTCCCTGGGTTTGCACCACATTGTCAATCCAGAGGAGACCCCGCTGCCTGAACTCTCCTTCCAGCTCCCAGAGGAGGAAGCTCGCCCAGCGGGGTGGCCCTGTGGCCCCTCATGCAGGTTTTGGCTTTCGGCTCTGGGCAGACACTGCTTTTCTCTGCCTTGTGCTCTATCCTTGAATTCACCAGGGCAGCCTGGATGGTCTTCCTGCTGCCCCTGCCCTCCCAGAGGAGGAGGCTGAAGCCTGCTGGGGACGTAGCAGTGAGGGTGTGTGTCTCTGTCAGTGTATCTGTGGCTATGTGGCACTGCGTGAGCATGGTGTCATATTGACTTGTCAGACAACATCTACTCACGCAACTGCTAATGCAACTCCATAGAGTGTTTTATTTATTTTTGAGAAGGTCTTGCTCTTTTACCCAGGCTGCAGTGCAGTGGTGCAATCATAGCTCACTGTAGCCTCCACCCTCTAGGCTCAAGTGATCCTCCCGCCTCAGCCTCCTGAGTAGCTGGGACTACAGGTGCGTGCCACCATGCCTGGATACTTTTTACATTTTTTTGTAGAGATGGAGTCTCACTACATTGCCCAGGCTGGTCTCGAACTTCTGGCCTCAAGTGATCCTCCCGCCTTGGCCTCCCAAAGTGCTGGGATAACAGGCAGGAGCCTCCGCATCGGGCTCCCAGTGTGACCTTAACGTTCATTTCCCGGATGAGTAATGATGATGAGCACTTTCTCACTTGCTTTTTAGGCATTTCATTATCCTTGTTTGTGACGTGACTTTTTACATCTTACGCACATTTTTGAAAATGGGATTAGTTTTACCGTTCACAATTAGGTCTGTGATCTATGTTGATGTGGAACATTTTAAATCTCCCCAGAGCCAAAAGTCAGCCTGCCTACCCTCGCCCTTCCCAAAGCGTGGTGGTCCCAGCATTTGGAAAGCAGTCTTCCCTCCTGGGTCGCCAGCTGCATGGCCTCTTTCGAGGGCCCCAGCCCTTCCTCCAGGCCCTGGAATTAATAAAAGCTCTGAGCTGCCTGTGGTTTTCAGGCTGAGAGCTGGTTCCAACGTCTGTTAGGATTCAGGCAGCAAGCTGGGGGCCACCATGCTTTCTCCACGTGGGTTTTTGTGTTCCCCCTCCTGGTGGGGGAGAAGCTCATCATTCATGAAACTCTGAGAGTCCCCAGACCGGAATAAAAAAACTCTCTTTTTTTTTTTTTTGAGACAGAGTCTCACTTTGTTGCCCAGGCTGGAGCACAGTGGTGCGATCTCAGCTCACTGCAACCTCCCTCTCCCGGATTCAAGCGATTCTGCCTCAGCCTCCCTAGTAGCTGGGATTACAGGCATGTGCCACCATGCCTGGCTAATTTTTGTATTTTTAGTAGAGTCGGGGTTTCGCCATGTTGGCCAGGCTGGTCTCAAACTCCTGACCTCAAGTGATCTGCGCCCCCCTCAGCCTCCCAAAATTAGTTAGCCAGGCTTAGTGGAGTGTGCCTGTAGTCTCAGCTACCTGGGGGGGCTGAGGCTGAGGCTGGAGGATCGCCTGGAGGATGGAGGCTGCAGTGAGCCGAGATCGCGCCATTGCACTGCAGCCTGGGTGACACAGTGCAATCCTGTCTCAAAAAAAAAAAAAGGAAGTCGGTGGGTACTCAGAGTTCTGATGTAATGTTTCTCTCCAAGTGCCTTTGCTGAAAGAGGTCCCCGAATGA